AATTGAAATCCAAAGTGAAGTAGAACAAAGAAAAAGAATCTTTCTTTTTTTTTCTTCTTTTGTTAACCGAAGGACTTACAAACCAGAAAGAAAGAAATCATTGCTATAGGTAAAATACAGAAGTATAAGAAAAGAAAATGAACAATTCAGTCTTTATGAAATCTTACAATTTATAGAGACGATAGAAGATGAAGGTAATTATATTGAATTGAATCAAGAGAAAAAAAGAAGGAAAGAAGAAATGAGAAAGCAATACAAAATTAATTTCGATCGTATATTTAGCTTATTATGCGAAAAAAATCTGTAAACACTTACTTGACAACAGTGATTGAGTGAGTGTAAAAGAAAAAAAAGGAAAGAAACGAAATAGTTATGGCTCATGTAGTTCATAATAATACGGATACAACCACAATACCACTTATGGATCGATTAACACATGCTATTATCAAAGAAACATCAAAAAATTTGTATGTTTTATGCAAATATAGATAATTATATTGGATTTTTATTTTCTTTGAGGAAATATTATATTGATGTAAAACGCCGTGAAAATGCTTTTGTTCTTAATCCGAGTTCATCTTCACGTGATTTAACATCACTCAAAACAGTACGTGAACAATAAATATTCTTTACTAGAAAAAAGAAAAATATCTTATAACTTTCAGAGATATAATTATGGAACAACGAAAGAACATCTATCACTTTATAATTCTTATTATACGGATAAAGATACTACAAGTTATTTACCAGGTTTACAACAAAAACAAAAACAATCTCATGTAAAATTTAATGATTATTCTATTAATATTTATTTAAAATATTTATTTCTTAGTCAACTTCAACAAGTCCTGAAAAACAAATGTGCCGTGAAGAACTAAATTTTCATATGCGTTCATATAACTTTTCAGTAAAGGAACAATGATTAAGAAAAATCTTTAGTTTTATATCAATTTTTTTTCATAGCCAAGAGAAGGTCCAAAATTGTCTGAACTTCGTTTAAAACCGACAATTCGATCAAGTTCATCATGTGGTGTCCATCGTGATAGTCGAGCACGATCAACATTTAAATTAACACGTCATGAACAAGATCAATTAATTGATGATACAGCTGATATTCTTGCATCCATGGTTAAATCACGACGATCAATTCATGAAACTAATTTATTAGGACAACAGGTAAATTTTATGAATAAAGAAAAATTTTTATTTAATATTTGAAATGACTCTAGACACCAACAATATATGTTTCACAAAATACAAATCTTTCTCCACGTCATTCTGAGTAAATAATGATTAGTAAACAAATGACATTATTGTTTATTTATCTTTTATTTTTTCTAGTGATCAATCAAATATTCAATCATCTATAACTTACCCAACAACTGATTTACGAATTTTTTCAATAAAACAACAACAACAACCAAAAAGAGAAAAACGAACAACACATGATCATCTTGCTAAATCAACATCTGTTGTAAGTATAAAACAAAAAAAAACCGCTTAAAAATAATCTCTCTTTTTATTTGCTTATTAATTAAAGATGCAAAAATCTAAACCAATTAATAAAGGTTTTCTTTGTGAATATAAAATCTCAATTACAACAGGAAATTGTAATGGCGCATCAACAAATGCACCTATACGTATTAAATTTTATGGAACAAATGGGCGTACAAATTTTCATGAACTTACTCATTCTGAAACACATAGAATACCATTTTTAAAAGATCAAACAGATATATTTACTCTTCAAACATATCATGTTGGAGAATTAGCTGGAGTTACTATTGGACATGATCGAAAAGATATGCGTATGTGTTTTATATAAGAAATAATATTTGAATTCTTTCTTTTTTTTTTTGTATGTTTATTTAGGAGCAAGTTGGTTTTTAAATAAAATATCAATTGATGATCCAATTCGTAGTAAAACTTATAATATATTGTGCAATGCTTGGTTATCAATTAAATCAAATGATCAAAAAACCATGCGTGATTTTCAAGTTACTTCAATTGTATTAAATAAAAAAAACATCAATTCAGACGGTACGAAACTAAAACTTCTCAAAAATAATTCTATTCTAAAGAATTATTGATTGAACTCGTTTTGTTTCACATTTTATTTAGAAGTTATTAATTTCAATGAGTTTAAATCGTCAGAATTTCATGAATAAGATAATTTAGTCATTGCCAAAAAAATCATAGCAACATTTCGATTCAATTAACTTTCTACATGATAGTCGTCTTTCTATTTGAATCGAGAGGATTTTTCTATTCTTCAAAGTTTTTTTATATAGAACAGAAGCGTAACTCTCTTTCGTAGAGTGAGCAATTCCTAAGGAATTAAAATGAGAAACATGATATAGTCGTTGTTACTAATCGCATGAAGATTATTTTCTGCTATCTACTTTGGGACACATTTCTTCATCATCTTTTTACTTAATCCCCAAGAAATGCAATAAGAAATTAGTTCATATATTAGAACGAAACTTTATTGATATACAGTCTGTGACGCAGTGGATGAACCGCTCCCCACGTTTCAGAGATAAGATTAGTTCTTGTTTTTTTGGAATCGAACCGATCCCATCTCTGTCACGTTTGTAAGTGGCAGGAGATTCTAAATTTCTACTCTTTTACTTCAACACTCCTTTCAGATCGTGTTTCATAATAATATGCAATTGAATATTTCGTTATTGAACTTGTAGAAGAATGCTGCGTGAGCAATTTTCAAAAGCAGAAGGAAATATCACATTCCACGCGCTCCCTATAAGTTACTTCCCTGCGAACTTAAAAATAAAGATAATTATGTGAATGTTTTAGAACATCATCGAGAAGAAAATGAAAGTCAATCTGATTACTCTACTAGAACAGCTGAAGGTACAGTTACATCGAATGGAACAAATCTAAGTGAAAATGATTTATTAACTAATCTTAAAGAAGTTAAAAAATATCGAAAACAACAACATGTATCAATTGGTCCAACAACAATTGCTAAAAAGTTATCATTAACATCTACAAATACAAATAATACTTCTCAATTGACAACACCATCAACAACCACAACAATTGAAACTCATTTTAATCAAAATGATTTACTTCTTCCACCTATACCTCGAATTCATTCACCAACACTTTCTGCAACATCGTCAGATACTGAAATTGAAGGTAATATTGCAAATCGAAGTCGTTCAACCTCTCAAACACCACCACCAACATTTAATCGAGTACGTTTACAACCTGTTTCTGAACATGATACATTGCAAACAAAATCAACATATCTATATAAAAAACATTCAATTGATAATGATCGACCACCAGCACGACTTGAAAAAAGAACTTCACCATCATCTGTTTCACCTGAACGACCCAATAAAAATAATGAAGAAAATAATGAAAACAATCCTTTTTCGTTTATTGAATAAGCTTTTAGTTTTACTCTAGGGCATGTTTGTTTTTGCATTATTCAGAAGAATAAACTGGAGTCAGTTTGTTAAACAATAAACTTGTATCTGAATTTAGAAATGATTCACGATTATCTTTTATTATTTGATAAGATAGTAGTGTTCGTTTTAAATGAGCAAGTATAAATTTCTTTTAGCCATCACACATACATATATATATATATATTAGCATCTAATCTTGTATCTCTGACATAGGACGGACATTAATTCAGGTCATTTTCGGATTGAGCAGTTACAGTACGTCCAATCTCGAATTAAAGACTAACTATTATCGCATTTTATGTGCATATGTCAATTTAGTTCAAAGAATGTATTGAATAAATTTTGGAATAGAAACATGTGGATAAAATTGAATCATCGTTTATGCTAAAACAAGCTTTGAAAAAGTAAAAAGATTAATTTACATATCAGGTGCCGAAGTGGGGTGAAAAGAACAAGTACATTCAAACTCACATCCTTCGTTGATTTTTTTTAATGTCATTTACTTTTGATTAGAGCAGTAGATTTAATAATCCGATATCTTTCCTACAACTAAGACTAGCTATAGTTCTGAACAGAAGGCCAACCTGATGCAAAGTTCTTGTACTCAATGGCTTGAGTTTCCCATACACATCAACTAGCCACAAGAGCACGTGTATGTTACAACATAGTCAGCATGTTATCCAATGGAGGTGATCCAAGACAAATAGCCGTTAGTGAGTTATCCAGAGTCATTGCGTGGCTAGTGGTACTAAGATTTGCACACAGTGCCATATGGATACGTGTCGAACAACATAACCATTTAGTTATGGAGGTTAAATTTTCAGACGAAACTTAGATCAGATGTGTTGTAGTTGATCAATTCAAGAATGGCATGAATTAATGTCTGTCCAATATTGGGTCTCAGATTGAACAACCAAAGTAAGATCTGAGATTGATCTAGGTAGAACTGAGATTGGACGCTAACATTAATATTTATTATGATTAGTTAATAGAGTCTCAACTCTACCAAACAAAGCTAACATGACTTTTGAGAGGCCTAGCATATAGCTGTATAAAATGACTAATGATATCAGATGCGTCAGTTACATAAATTGATAATGATGTGCTGCTTGTACAACACTATTTCATTGTCTAACTTTCTACTCATCTTATACCAATATTATCATGAATAGTACTCAAATTTGAAGATAATTATAACACTAATGCTTTAAGAATTTCAAATTTTTAGATTGTCGTAGTTTTAATTGTGTGTCTTTCGCCAATATTAAACACATTATTTTAATTCAAATTCGTAAAACTCTCAAAATCTCTATTTAGAAAAAAAAGCAAATGTTATAATCAACAGTTAAAATCACGGTTGTTTACTTATTCAATTCTTACTTTATAACAAGTCATTTAACACAATCGGAAATTCTTCGAATTCATTCACATAATGTGTCAATAATGAATCTAATAGAAATCTCAGTAAATCTTTCTTTTTGATTATTCATATACAGTGTCTTCTATGACTTCATAACGAGCACTATTTTTTTTATAATCGATACAATATAAAATAGTCTCTTGTTAGAAATCTTTTGGATGAGATCTAATATATAGTATAATGAACCCAATACAAGACTATATACAATTTATTTGTTGATATTACAGCAGGTACACATAAGTTGTTGGAATAAAAACCACAAAACAACTAATTAAAACAATGAAAGAAAATGAGATTATAAAACAACACTAATAGTTATACGTCACGATAACAAGATTCTTGAAGAAAATGGAACAAAAAAAACGAATATTCTTTTGAGAATAGATTCTTTGAGACATGAGTTCAGTGAAATGAGACAAATAAAATGATGACTAGTAGAAAATGGTTTTGTTTTTAAACTAGATAACGGTTTGTTTTTACTCTACAATATCGACGACGAAATAGAACGAGGATAATCATAAAAGCAATAAAGATGTACAACGAAAACTGTTGTATCAGTATAATGAAATATTTAACCAACCCGACATTTTCTTTTATTTCAGCATGATATTCTATAGGTGAAATTAAACGTTCTTGTCGAATTAATAACGTTTCATTATTATAAGGTTTGTCTAATATTAATGATACATCAATATTTTCTTTTGAATAATATTCAACAAGAAAATTAATTGTTTTTGAAATAATATATTCATTGTAAATGTTCTTCTTATTCATTGATTGACATGTTGGACAGAGCTTTTTACTCGGAAATTGAAGTTTGGGATGTTTTGGATCTTCAGTTATTTGATTACGTAAACGTTTATTAACACGATTGTGAACTAAAAGATTAGATTTAGAAAAAAAATCAAAAAGAATCCTGTCGAATAAGATAACCATCCTTCATTTGAAAACTTATCTATACCGTTTTGTAGAGTAAATCGTGATGTATCGGATGGTATATAGGAAATTGTTTTTCATTGAGCTTTTATGTTCTGACAAGGTATGTACCAGTTAAAGAGTATTATTGCAATAGTGGATAATCTGACCAAACATCAGGACTCATAGTCTTTGTTTAAACTTATCTCAATAGAGTTTTATCTAGTCTTCAATTATGTATATCTAATAATACTCACATATAGCTTTCTTCGTACTCAAAACTTTAGCATTTCCACTAGTTTCTGTAATTTTTGGCTGTTATGATGTTTTAAAATCTTCGATATTCCTTTCGAGAGCAGAGATGACCAATCGTACAACTTTCTCAAAAATTGTATATCAATAGGGTCTATAAGTATGTCAATTGATTGTCCTCTGAGTTCTTGTGCGTCATGATCAAAAACGGCCACTTTTTCAATTTCAAGGAGCAGAAAAGTATGCAAGTTTTGTGATAAACACATTTTGAGTGAAAATGTTCCTATTTATTAACAATAAGTTTATCGTGCTCTATCATTTGACATAGATGAATCTTTCGAAAATGATTTTAAAAAATTTTTCGCTTTCAGACCTCTAGAGGGGGTATGTAGACATGCGAAATTCTTAATCTTCATAAGAGAGTGAACATATATGTTGAATCTAATAGAGCTCCATACTCTAATTATACTCGGCTACTCAGAATGTAAACTCGCAAGGATTAAAAAAGATGCAACCTTTGTAATAATTCATTCCCGTATCCACATCCAGGAGTCTGAACGAGAAAATTTTTTTGCCATTTTCGAAACATCCATATATGTCAAATGATAGAGCATGATAAACTTATTATTAATAAATAGAAACATTTTCACTTAAGATGTATTTACAAAAAAATTCATATACTGTTCTATCCTTAGGAATCAAATAATTGGCTGCTTTGACCACAATGCGCGCCAATTCAGAGGACAATCAATTGGAATACTTAAAGAGCGTACTGATACACAATTTCTGCGAAAGTTTCACAGTTGATTGCCTTTGCCACCAGGAATAATACCGAATAATTTAAAATATCATAAGAGTCACTGATTACAGAAGCTAGCGGAAATGCTAAGATTTTGAGTACGAAGAAAACTATTGTGAGTATTATTAGATATACACAATTGAAGATCAGACAAAATTCTATGGAGGTAAATTTGAACAAGTTTCGATATAGGTTGATTTGAAGACATAATAAGTCCTAATGTTTGCTCATATTATCCACAATTGCTATAATATCCCTTAACTGATATATGGCTTTAAAGAACACAAGAACTTAATGAAAAAGTAATTTCGTATATATCAATCGATGCATCACGAATTGCTCTACAAAACGATATAAGTGGTTTTTCAAATGAAGGATAGTTATCCTATCCGACAGAGTACTTCATTTAGAAAAATATATTACTTTTCCAAAGATAAATAATTGCTTCACGTTTATTTTGTGAGTTCAGTTGTGTCATATTAGCAGTTTCTTTCATGAAATTAGTACTACATTGTCGACAACCAAAAAAATGTTTTATATAATTTTTTATAGCCAATGGAACTTCAGTAACATCGATTTGATTTGATTCTATTAAAAATAAAAGAAGATAAATAAAGAAAAAATAAATAATAAATATAAAGATAGAACAAACCTATTTGATATTGTGAAACAGTAAGAGTATGAAAAAGAAGCCAAAGTGCACATGGATAACCACGATATTGTGGTGCAGATCCTGCACAATGTTGATATTGAGCATGATCATTTGGTAAATAAGCATTCGATGTCTTCATATTAATTATTTCTCGAAATGTATCCCCACTAAAACCATTGGAATGTTCACTGACTTTCAATAATAATTGTTTAAAATAACCCATAACTGGTTCACGACCAGGAAAATACTATATCAAAATAAATAAAAGAGAATATAAAATAGATTTCGAATTTAAGTATTCTCTAAAAAATGATGATCAATCAGAGATCCTGATAAACGCTATGGATCTCTTCAATCTATCTATACTTGTTATCTGTTTTTGTTGAGTTAACCTAGCTACTAGTTGCAGTCAGTTGTTTTTTTTTTATTTATATACTACTATTATGATGTTAATTGAATGCAAGCAGCAGAAAGTTTTTATAAGTAAGCAAAGCGATCATGGACATTGAAACATTGATTATTTTCATACAGTATGTATCTATCGAGAATAGACAGAAAAACAGCAACACTTAACGAAAAGCAAAAATGTTTTAAATGAATTTGATGAATTAGTTGAAGAGAGCATAGTGAATCCTACTATATAATAATAATAATAATAACAATAATAAGCGATAAGAAAGTGCTAAAAGTTACCTAACGATGTGATTCAAATCAGATAAAAATTTTCGGTAGACCATCCGGTATAATGTGCGTTATACCGACCGTAGCTTGACACTTAAACAGTTGGTTATATCCTCTGGTCACCACTCTACTGTGGTATACCGATAATTGTTCTCTGACCGACAGTAGTGTTAACAAGCGTGTGACATGGAGTGTACAATTAAAAAGATCAAAAACTATCATTTTTCGTCTTTCAATGGAAAAAATATTCGATTCATCTGAGTTTTCAGGCTGGCCTGGAATAGATTCGAGAATAAGTGTCTATGCCTACCCAAGACAGGCAGGCTTCATAATCTATTTGGACTTCTGGTGATTACTATTTTCTATTTATCATGGTCAGGACTTCGAATAATATACATGCACGATCTGTTTAGAATAATAAGAGTTGTGATTAGTATAGCTGGTAGACGATAAACAGAATAGACAAGCATTTTTTTAAAAGCTGTTCTTCTACTTCGCATTAGATCTCATGTGGAATTAGTAATTGAAATGAACGGACTTGTTTGTATTGCAGACTTTATTAGTTACTATTCATACGTAGATGGTTAATGTTAGTGAGAAACTAAAACTAATCTCAAACTACTCTGGTTATCTGTGTTATGGTTAATTCGAATCTATAGATAGTTTGAATTTACTTGTTTCCATCTGTTAAGACTTTCATTCATTAATATTCAATCGCTTGTTGAATATATTTAACTAGAAAAAGACATACAGAGGTCAGTCAGACTGCAGAAAAAAATGACGACTTATTTGAAGATCTTATAGACAATCGTATAATCAATATTTTCCAATCGATGTTAGTATTAAAACTATTAAGTAATGAATAGGTTTTACATGTCATACCTTAGTGAGTACAGTCAACCATTGAACTAATGCATCGTATGCGTCACCGTAAATTTCTTTTATTTGAGGTACTTCTTCTCGAAACATATAAGACAAAGCCAATTCAAGATCAACCATATTTACTTTACGATAAATTGTATTTTTATCAAGAATTTCATCTGTTACGTTTTTCTTCTGAACTAATTTTTGTTGCATTTCAGCATTTTTAAGTGCATTTTTACTAAGAATAATTTCTTCGAATTCGCGATCATCAAAATTTTCAATATATTTTGTTTGTTGAATGTATGATCGAATAGCATTATTAAATAAATCGTGATTGTCAATATTATTACTATAGAAAAAATAAAAATCATACAAATCATTTTTTTTTTATTTTTAAATAATTATTCTTTTTTTTTTTACCTGCTATTTCGTTCAATATTAATTCGTTGAGCAGTTCGATTTCGAAGGATAACAAATAAAGCAGGTACATCTGTTATACTAACATTAAATTTACGCCATAATTTTCCATCTGTAGTCGTTCGAAAAATAGCTAATTGATCGCGATATTTCGAAAAGTCAAGCATTATCTATATATTAATGATAAAAATTCTTATTATAAATAAGAAAAGAATTATTACATGTCGACCAATAAAATCATTTCGTTTTTCTGCAATAACTAAAAGAATTTTGACTGTTGATGGAATACGTGCATAAAGTTCTTCCAATGTAATTCGACTATAAACAATAGAATAAATAAATTTCATCAAATGACTTTGCCTGATTTGGTAACCTATCTTGAACTAGGATATCATATATGTGATCGCTCTTCGATTTTCTATCATCATGAATAATTTTTATCGTTGCTTTCTTCATACTTAAAACTACTCACTTTTCTCAGTTCTACGTTATTTCTTGACTACTTGATATTTCAACATGCTCAACTCTGTGCCATAGGACAAGTAAGTACCATAGTAAAACTTTCTTAAAAATTGTACACCATCGAGCTCTATATGTTTCACACAGAGCATCTTTCAGAATAGCAGGGACTCCTTGTCAACTTACAAAATTGTCGTATAGAATGGTCTATTTTCCTATATGAAGGGATGAATATATTAACAATACTGAATGGTTGTATTAAAAACTTTTATGCATCAATAATCAGCACAGCATCTCAAATGACCTAATAGAAATAACTGCTTTGATAAGGAGAAAAAACTTTTTGGCCTCCGGATCCCTGGAGAAGGATACGAGCATATGAGAAAATTTAATTTTGAAATGAACATGAAATATTTATAAATTCTTGTAGAGTTTCACGTATAAATCAAACCTGAATACTCGAAATAAACATTTGAAAAATAGAAAATCTCCTTCTGGCAATCCTATGTTCATAACTCTTCTTCAGAAAACTGGAAGTCAACATTTTTTTTCCTGCTTATCAAAGGAGTTATATTAGTTCACCAGGGATGCTGTGCTAATTATTGATGCATAAAAGTTTTTAATACAACCATTGAGTATTGTTAATATATCGGTTTCTTCATATAGGAAAATAGACCATTCTATAGGACAATTTTGCAAGTTAACAAGGACTCCCTGCTATTCCGAAAGTTGCTATGTGTGAAACATATAGCGCTCGATAGGGTGCAATTTTTGAGAAAGTTTCACGATGATACTCACTTTTTCTGTGGCACAAAGTTGAACACGTTGAAATATCAAGTAGTCAAGACATAAGCTAGAACTTAGAAAATGAACCAGTTTTAAGTGTGAAGAAAGCAACAATGAAAACTACTCATGATAGAAAAATCGAAAAACATCTGCAACTGTATTCAATTGAGTTTAAAATTAAAATTTGCATAAGTTTATCTTAAGGATCACAATGTCTATCAGTACCATATATACTTCTCAAAGATTATAACCAGTATATAGACCTTCAGAATTTCAAAACTTTCATATCTTACATGTCATTCGATGTTCCAAAAATGACTCTACAAAACCACAAATATGGTATCCGGGTTCAAGATAGGTCATAAAATCCGACAAGGTCATTTCAAGAAAAAAAAACATCTTACTTGACAGGTGTAAACTGTGGCCATAATTTGTTTTTTTTAGGGATATTATCCAGTTCTTTAATAAGTCGTTTTTTCACAACATTGGCATCCGTCGCTGAAATCTCAATCGCTTTAGATGTATTACCAAGAATAGTTTCAGGTGGTATGAACTATTTTATAATGAAGATGAAGAAAAAATAACAAATAACTTTTTCACTTACTCGCAGAGCCGGATAGCCTCTGACGCTATGTTGACGACATAGTGCATTATTGTCTCCTGCATAACAATTTATTGCGGCAATACGAATAATCGTTTTCCATGCTGGAAAAAAATAGAATTTATTTTTCAGAATGACATATTTTTTTTACCTACTCCAAGTGTCAATAGCAATTTCTCGATAAGTCTAATATAGAAAAAATAATTTGAATATTTATTATTGAAAAAAAAGAAGTAGAAGATATCTCATACATTAGCATAAGATTGACAATGACCACACCAACTTGCATAAAATTCAATGAGCCATGCTATTTTTGATTGATAAACTGTTGAAGAAAAATTTTGACTTGTAAGAACAACTATTTTATCATTTGCATTGTAGAATGAAACTATATTTCCAGACGATAATGCAGCTAATAAAGCTTGTTGACAGTTGACAATTAGAGCAAGAATAAGTATGTTAATATATTTATTAATAAATAACGATTTCATCGGCCAATGAATGATAAACTCCTATACATATGATCTTCAATATAAAAAAGAAAAATCTAAGGCATTGTATCCTACGTCAAACTCAATATTTAATGATGTAAAGTGTCACACAAGTAAAGACGAATGAGAAAATATCATTTCGTCTTCCTAAATAACGAACACTTAATGTCAGTCATAGACATCAAATGAACACAAACGTGCTAAGATGATAGAACGAAAAAAAAATAGTAGATAAATGAACACTGTCTAATCCGTTGAATAAATGTTGTGTCTTCATCTTTATTTCTTTGAATGTCGATCATAAGTTGTGAAAAAAAAGGAACAAAAATTTGGCAATGATCCTAAACATTTTCAAATTGTACACATACTATTGTCTTTTGTTTAAAACTCTCATTTTACTCAAGATTCTATTGAATCTATTGCAATAAATAAATGTCATTTAGCATGTCTTTCGTCATCATCTTCTATCTCAATCTATCTTCTGTTAATAAAGAAAAACAATACAGTTTTCATCTAATGATTTTAATCTCAAAAAAAACAAAATTAAAAGAAATCACGAGAACAGAATATAATAAACTACGAAAAAAAAATCGTTAGACGTAAATTACTCCAAGTTGGGTATTATTGTGAACAATACGTTAATAATACCATTATTGACCAGTAAAGTTTGGTTTACGTTTTTCTAAAAATGCCGTCATGCCTTCTTTTCGATCATCCTATAGAGAAAAAAAATTCTGAATTTAAATTTTCTCTTCTATCAAATATTTAACTTACTAAACCAAATGTTGTATGAAAAAGACGTTTTTCCAAGCGATTTCCTTCAGCCAATGTAGTTTCAAATGCTATTCAAAACAAAACATAAAATCGTTCAATAATAAAGTGAATATTACTCACCAGCATTGACTGCTTCTTTAGCTAATTGTACGACAATTCTTGAATGACTTGCAATTTTCTCAGCTGTTTTAATTGCTTCATCAACAACTCTATCAGGTGGAAAAACAGCACTAACTAAACCGAATTTTTCGGCTTCTTTTGCATTAATTCGATTGCCTGTTAATACTATTTCCATTGCTTTTGATTTTCCAACATAACGTGGTAAACGTTGAGTACCACCAGCACCTTTCAAATAAAAAAAATAATATTTTTATTCAAGTAATAAAATTTCTTACCTGGAATTGTACCAATAACAATTTCTGGTTGACCAAATTCAGCTGTCTCTCCGGCATAAATAATATCACACATCATTGATAATTCACAACCACCACCTAACTATTAAATGAAAGAACAAAAAACAAATAAAATGAATAATATTTTATTTAATAAACATACTGCATAACCATTGACAGCAGCAATAATTGGTTTTTTAATACGTGTTACCGCTGACCATTGATCAAGAAAGCCTGAACCAATCACTTCTGCTAATTTCCTGTTTTGCATTTCTTTAATATCAGCACCGGCTAAAATATTAATAATCATTTTATTTATTTAAGAAATAAGAAAAAAAAGAAATTAACCAGCAAATGCACGTGTACTGCCTGTTAAAACAATACAACCAATTTTATCATCTTTATCAAGTGATTCTAAGACTGTACTCAACTAAAAGAAGACAATTAATAGAAATAAATAAATAACTAAAAACTATTCATACTTCTGTCATTAGACCATCACACAATGCATTTAATGCTTTTGGTCGATTGAGTTGAACCAGTGCGACATTAGAATTTTGTCCTTTTATATCGACTAATAAATATTGATATTGTTTTTGCTCTTGATTACCACCTGTGTATACAAAAATAAAATAATTATATATATATATATTCTTTCATGTTTCTTTTTTTTACTTTGTTTAGATGGTTCTGTTGATGCTAAACGAAGAGCTAATGATGTCGCATGACTTGGTTTTAATAGAAGTGTTGTTGTTGTTGCTGAACGTGTAAGAACTTGTGAAAATGTTTTTGCAAGGAAACTCATCTTTAATACATATAAAATACTTAAAGAAAGGCAAACAAGTACTTGTTCTATTTTCGAGAACAGCCTTCTCCCTCACACAATGCTGCGTGTGTATGAATTATACTAATAAGTGTGGCAATTGTGTTTAAATTAAAAAATAGTATCGGCCAACAAAGAGAAAGAAACCGACTTATTAAAAACTAATGTGTTCGACAAATACAGTAAAAACCTATTTTTATGTTGGATATTTTTAATAAAAAAATGAATCTAGACTATTGATAACCTAAAAGAAGAAAGCGCAACTCTATTGGATGACACTTGTACCAATAGAAAATGCATCATTTTAATAATACTATTATTATTTGTTATAACGAAGAGAACAAACAAGCACGGCCTCTATTGCCACTAAAATTATAAATTTGAAGAAACATTAATACCTATATCATCAATCAGAACTGATAAATGGCCACTATAATGTAGTCGAAGTGCATAGCTCTAGCACATGTTCACGAAGAAAACAGTAACGCTTGTCTTTCTCATTAATCTTTATAGTTCATCGTATTGAAAACATCTATCTATCAATAATATAAAGCGACTTTATCGAAGTTCATTCATCATTTTGATTAGTGGATCGCAGTCTTTCTCAATTGGTGCATCAAATTTAATTCGTCTCTGAAAAGTGCATTAAATCGGGATTCATTTTTCGACCAATCAAGCTCCCTAATTCGGTATTAAATTTTCTAGTGTAGACAAGGCCTATTTTAAAATATGAGTAAATCAATAAAAACTGAAGATTTCCTAACTCAATTTGATTGAATGCTTTGTAAAAATTTAGCAAAGATTTCCATAGATGTTTTATATAGTTTGAAATACCATGAGAAGCATAATCGAAAGGCATGATATAAATCCCTCCTCAAAATAAAAGACCTACCTGAAAAATTTGTACGCTTGAGCACAATAGAAAATTCGAGGTCTTCTGTAGCGGTAAGAGATTTACTAGAATATAATCATGTGTTTATATTTCTTTTTTTGGCTCTCTAAGAAAGGATCATGATTATACTAGTGTGTTACATCTGTACCATGGTTATAACTATCAACCGTAGTTATAACTATCAGCCGCAGTTATAACTTTCAACCATAGTTATAATCGTAAATTTTATTCAGAACCAGTTTTTTAATACCTACTGATCAGCATAATTTTTTATGTTGCTTGTTACATCAAACCTATTAGATATATCCACACCCTTTGATGAGGTATGTTCACACTGGATACCAACGTGCTGTCGTTCACTTGATTCTCCTAAATCATTTAGCAAATATTTCTCTTTGTCTTTGATTAATTGGGCGATAATGGTAGCAAGTTCTATTCTCTCAATCTTCTCTTCCCTGTTCTCTTGTCTTTCACTTCTCTTCTCCGTTCGTCAATATATCAACGAGAAAGGCAATGAAAGAAGCATAGTAATATATGCATTGTCATCAGTAGAGCGGGCTTATAAGAACGAGAAGAGAATGGTCTGATAAATTGATTTCGTGTCAAAATAAAACATGCGTAATTTTACCGACAAATAGCCTTCTCTAAATTTTGTCACAAGCTATATCAAATTTCATTGCTCTGTCGAAGACTGAACATTAAAACTATGCTATCAACTTTTAAACTGTATTCTCAATAGCTCCTAATTCAACGAGTATCATTAGCCACACAATGAACAATCCATTGTCTCGAAGGTGCATTAGCCTATGATGCAAAAATATGAGAAAATGTGACCTACAGATAGATGCATCACAAAAAACCTCAATGAAAATAAATTCATTAATGTTGGTCTTCAGAAGTAAGGATATTAGAAATAAGTATATTTTCATCTGCACTATCGAACATGACAATGAAATCAAAGTGATTACTGTTTTAACTGGTTCAAATCTGTTCAAAATTTTCATTAGTTGATAGTTATAACTCGGATCGAAGGTTATAACTATAGTTGATAGTTATAATCATGGTTAATAGTTATAACTGCGGTCGATAGTTATAACCGTTGTAACTTTTCGCCATTTTTCTCAACTATCAACTTGTGGAAAAATAGTTTTAACTCCCACACTGCTAAAAAGCTAACTTTTGGTGTCATTATTTAACGTCCAGTTAACAAACTGAATCCTCATCTTTTTTTTTTCGAAGATTAGCCAATGTTGTCTGCTTGTTTTTCTTGTATGAGAAATAGCCAAGATCTTTACGCAGTATCTGCTGTGCGCTTATCTTTGAAATATTTATTTCAGCAGTCAATCTTCTTGTTGATACCTGTTTGTTGTGAGCTAGACATCATTGAGCCTTCGAGGTTTTAGCTGTTGTCCTAACTGTACGTAGACAATCAGAAGAATGTGACAAATTGATAGAGCCAGTGTTGCTGATCATTTAAATCTATAATTTAATTGATCGTAATGAACTTACTCTATCTAAATCACGGTAAATTTCTATCGATCCATGACCATTTCCGTATTTATTTTTTACAGCTGTTCACATGTCTTTACTTTTCATCTTTTTTTAAAAATTTTTTCTAAAAAAATATTTCAATCAAGGGAATAAAAGAGAAGAAATTTCAAAAATACTAAGAGAGCAATTCTTTATAGACCACTCAATATTGTCATGTAAATGTATCAAAACACAAGTACTGATTCGGTCACAGTCTGTAAAAAATCGAGACTTATAGTAAATGAAGAAATTTTTTCTGTCATTCTATAGATGTCAGATATTGATGGCGTATGTAACATAACATAACTTAAGTTATAGACAACCAGTAACAGTCATCATTCTGTCAGTGGTTTATTTTCCTGACATATGTCTTCAAAGAAAATAATCAGCTGTCTTCATTCTGAATCAGTACAAATAAAATAAGTAAAACAATCATCATTACGTTTTCTTTTTAATTTACCCAATGTCAAGAAAGTCATGGCCAAAGTATCGACAGACATACAAACTAGTCAACCTATGATATCAACAGAAACACGTACCCTTCGAGATCTAGTACATAGTTCAAAACGTATAGGTGGAAATTATGGTAGTTTAGCTAAATCAAAAACATTACCAACATTTTACATTGTTCACAAAATCGAATCAGATGATACTTTGCAAAGGCTTGCATTGAAATATAGTATCAATGTATGTTGTTTTCTTGATTTTTTTTTTGTAATCGCTATTATTTATTAAATTTCAATTAAAGATTCAAGAAATCAAACGAGTTAACAAATTATGGTCTGATGCTGAATTAGGTTTATTAGAACATGTATATATTCCTGTTAATTCTCCACAAATATCAATACTTCGAAGTCAATATCCAACATTAGATATTGTTCAAAATTTACCATCATTAACAAATCATCGTCGAAAATCATCGATAAATACTAATACAACTGATGAAACAAGTTCATCTGATAGTTCAATTTCTATATCAACAACAAATAATTCATCTTGTCAAGATTATCTATCGAGAATAGATCAACAAATACAATTAACAAAAAAAACCTTACAATTAATGGATATTAGAGAACAACATCCAAAGTATGTATATATATATATATATATCAATAAATTATATTTGATAATTATTTTTTATTTTAGTTCAAAATCTCATGAAATATTTACTTCACATATTTCTAATAAGAATGATACAAATTCTTGTAAAAATAATTGTACTACTAGTCGAAATAATGAACAACATACAAGTGCACATCATCTATCTGACAATAGTGTATTGTCGAATATAACAAAACACAATTCACGTGAAAAATATATAACAGCTGCTCTTGAACGAATACAACGAGAAAAAGATGATTTTGATGAACTGTAAATTTGTTTATGTATTAACAGTAAACAATGATCGAGAAACATAAAATCCGAGTGAATTTTATTTTTAATTTATTTATACATTGAATTAGAGAACTTGACAAGTTGATTACGAAACTATACTTTTTATTTCAATTATGCCACTCTCTCTCTCTCGTTGGCAAAAGCCTACAAAGCAATAAGATTTAATGTTTAGCCAAAAGTAACTTTTTTTTTACAGGAAGTCTCGAATTTTTATTGAAAAAATTTTATTTTAATTCGACATTAAAAAAAAAATTTTATCCATTATAGGTGGATCCAAGAACATTCATTTATCGGCACTTTTGTGAATCTGTCTAGTTTTTTTTTTTTGTTAGAGAAGATATGACTAAATTTTTTATGCCAATGAAATCATCAGATGTCGAGCTACAATGGAAATTTTAATTTTGTTTTGTTGTTGAAAAAATTGAGTATCTTCTTATTTTGATGGAGAATGAGTCAAAAGTGTTTTGTTATCATAGCTCGATAAAAAAGAACAAAGTTTCAGCAAAAAATACTGAGGAAGACGACGATAGGCGCGTTTCCTCGTGGAAAACACATATTACTAACTTAAATGTAAAATCAATTTTTTATTTTACTTTTTTTTTATCGAGCTATGATTATAAAATACAAGGTTATTGTTTTATTTTTTTGCCATCAAAATGAGAAAATACACAATTTTCTCAACAATAAAACAAAATTAAACATTCTTTTGTAGCACGAGATCTTATAATTCCAATAAAATAAAACATAGTCCTAATCTTCTCTCAGAAAAATCTACATAAGTTTACAAAAGTACTGATAAGCACGTGTTATCTTGCTATCTATAATGAATAAAACTGTTTACTCTGTCAAATTTTGATTGATTTTTTTCTAGTGACAGAGTGACTCAATTAAATTACCAAGTATAGTTTCGTTAACAGCTTGTTAATCTCTCTAATTCAATGTATGAATAGATTAAAAATAAAGTTGACTCGAACTCTGCATTTTTCACATCTTATTTTTTTATTAAAATACTCAAACGAATGATATTCGAAAAAAAAAGATAAATAATAATATTTTCCTATCGTTTCTATGCATTTTTCTCCCACTGTTCTGTGCAATTGAATAGTATTTTTCTTCTAATACACTTCAAATTCAAAATAAAAAGCAATTATTATAATATGAGTTTGATATTTCTTTTTAATTATAGATATACATGATGTTGCGATCGTATAGGAATTCCAAAGCAATTTATAATTTTTTGCAAAATACTTATTGGTCAAATTACTAAACGATATTAATCAATCAAACGTGCCGATTTTTAGCAAAATATATAACATCAGATATTATAAATAAATTATAATGTGTTCGTCCAGATAATCATACAGGGAATGTAAGTAAAGTAGTGCCAATTAATATGATATTATGCGCAGAGATGAAAAAAATTGTTGATGATTCAAATTGATGTAATCACCTAAAGCCTGTTTACAAATCATCTATTTAATATTTTCACATTGCAATAGTTCACCTACCATAGCTGAAAAAGAGCGAAAACTTATAAAAATTCGTCCTATAACATGATTAGGAAATCAAGGACGTGTAAGAAGTGAGAGAAATTGAAAATAAAAGTGAGAATAAATAGAGCACTGCAACATGCAGGTACAAACATGAAAATTAACGATTTGTAGAGACACGAAATATGTGTTTTTAATACTACCGTTTAATAGCGATAGCATTGATCATATAGTTGATTGGTTGTTCTGTTAAACTATCAATAATTTGTTAGAGTAAAGCAACTTACGGGTCGGATACGGGTACGAAAAGTTGTACCCGTGCATTACTCTAAGGATAAAGGAGATAACAGAAGATGGAGGTATTGTATCTCTTGTTAGATAGGCATTCTTTTGAAGACAGGTAATCTAAAAATTAAAAAAAAAAAGAAGCATAGCTATAACTTAGGATTATTTACAGAGACAGATATGCAATAGGAAATGCTCTTTGACAGGTTATTTTTCTCATTCTCATTTTCAAGATACTCATACATGTGGTATGATCCTGTATAGTTTTTATGTTCCAAATAATTGCTTCAACTTGGTATAAAAATTTTGATAAGCTTTAAGTTTAATCATACAAAATCATTGTTAGCTAATATCAATGTTTTGGATCACATTCTATACGAATCGCAATGTCAAGGTCTTGTTTCATTTTATATAACAAATTTCAGTCAAGAAAAAATACATGTTAATAGTGCTGTTGCTTTCAATTCAGAAGATCTTGTTTATGAATAACATCGAGAAACTGATGAGAATAAGAATCGACCATTGTTCTTTCAACAAAATCGATAAAATCCATTCTAGGGGCTTTCATGTATCATGGTTTTAAATTAGAAGAATTTATTGATCAATGTTTTGGTAATATACTGCTCGAGCAATAGGTTATAGGATAGCAACAATACGTGTTGATGGAAATGATCTTGTTTTTTTTGGTATATATAATGCAATAAGTGTACTGTATGAATTAGCTTCAAATGAAATGCGACCAGTTTTGATTGAAGCAATGACCCTTAGGTTATAAATGAAGGCTCATACTAATATATAGATTCTTAATAATTCAGTATTTCTGATATGATAGTTTTATTATTTTTTATTGATATATTTTCGATTCGTTTTTTTTTATACATAAAATAATTTTATTCTTAAAAATATTTAGGTAGTGGAAGCATTGGAAAAAAAATTCTGAACTAATGGAACAAGCACCTTATTTCAATCATGTTTGAAAATATTTTTTCATAAAATAGAACTTAATTTATAACAACAAATTAATGAACATGTTCGTCGAAATCTTGATCAATAATATTCATTATCATTGTATCAATTATCTTTAACATAGAAAAGCATTCCATACTTTTTGTTTCGATATTATTATTGATAGATTTATTCTAGAAAATGAATTTCATAAATATAAAAGGAGTATATCTACAGGATGCCCAAATCTATTCTACACTAGAATTTAAGCTCTCTACCTCATATAGTCATAGTAATATAAACAATATAAAATTCATAGAAATTTTCAAAAAATATTTCTTTTATTTTATCAGTAAAGTAAATTAAAAACTATAGTTTGAGCGAGATTTATAAATCGCATTTCTTAAAACATAATAAAAAAAACCCATTCGTCAATGTTTGTCTTTACTCTTCAGCTGGACCTATTATTTGTTTTAATCGACTCAGAATTTTTTTTCATCATTTACTTGCACTTTGTTGCAGTAAAATTTGTTTTCAATTAAAGGAGCACAATAATTCGATTTAACAACTGTAAAAATATTAAACAGAAACAATGACAGTTATCTATGAATTCACCTAGTCAGTAAAAGCCAATTAACCTATTCATGTAACTCTTTCATAAATTTTGTTGGTTCTGCGCAATCTAATCACTAGACAAATAGAGATCGTGAAATTTTACCCATTTGACAACCACACGCAGACAAATCAGAGAACGCAAAAGTGATACAAAAATTACTCATGGTGGGGGAATGATTGAATGACTACAATTTTATTTCATCACTAGTGTCTCTAAAAAAAACATTCAAAAGTTTCGTACGAGTTTTACATTAATTGTATCGCGATGATTCTAACAAGTAGGAAGTTCAAATTATAGTGTAGATTAGATCTGGACTTTTACTATATATAAGCCATTTCAGACAAAACGGGACATGCTTATCTTTCATTTGACTTTGATTAATTACAAGGATTATTTTTCTTAATAAACTCTTTTAGTATGCACACATGTAAAAATGTTGGCTAATTATTAATTAAAAAGTAATTAGCAAATATCTCTTTCACCATATGAGAAAAAAATCTCAAAACTTCAGGATAGAGTCTAGGATACGAATCACACATCTATGGTGAAATTTTTAAAGAAGATTAGACTCCAAAAAAATTCTCTCTATTTCTGTGTACCCCGCCACGTCGTCGTTAACGAGAAATAAATCAATTTTTTGAAAAAGCTAAGGATGCTCAGAAAAAAAGATTTGAACAGAGATTTTCTAGCCTCAAGAATTGCCTATAGAATAAGTATTATTTAGTTATCAAAAATGCTGCCTCAACTCGTAGTTTTTTCAAACTAAAATATACGTTAGATGTTTTTTGAGGGTTTTCTCGAAAACTTAATTAAGTACTAGCATAGGACATATAAGCTGTGGTTGTGGTTATGTGGGGCCATGTTTCCGTGTCATCCACACCAAATACGATGCCCTATGTGTGTGTTCGTGGAATATCTTCAATATCTCCTTTGTTGGTACTTAACTGAGTTTCTGAAGATACTCGTAGTACTGTAAATATCAGCTTATTCTACTGAAGAATCATATAAGAAAAGAAGATTATTTGAGAAAATCAAAAATTATTTAGATAAAGTTTATATTTTTATAATTTTCAGATGCAAAAAGTTGATTGTCTGATTGTAGGCGGTGGTATTCTAGGTGTAGCTGTTGCTCGACATCTACAATCAACATTTTCACATTTAAAATGTTTATTAGTCGAAAAAGAGAACGGTTTAGGTTAGACGAAAACAAAAAAAAAACAATATCATAAAGTTCTAATTAAAAAAATTATTTTAGCTAAACATCAAACAGGTCATAATTCGGGTGTAATTCATGCTGGAATTTATTATAAAACTGATTCATTAAAAGCAAAACTTTGCATTGAAGGTTTAAAAAGAATTTATGAATATTGTGATGCTAATCATTTACCATATAAAAAATGTGGAAAAGTTAGATGAAAGACTTTGTCGTTTAGTATAAATATTTAAATTGTTTTTTTTTTAGTTAATTGTTGCTGTTGAACGTGATCAATTAGAACGTCTTGATAATATATATCGACAAGCAACAGAAAATGGTGTTCAAGATGTTAAAATGCTTGATTCAAATCAAATTAGAGAAATTGAGCCTAATTGTCGAGTAAGATAATATGTTATTCGAATATATAATTGTTGTTGTTTTATATTTGT